TATTAATGTTTCTGTTCCTAATTCTTTTACACACTGCAACCTCTTGTGTCTTAGTGGTTTTACTGCCTTGCATGGAGCGATAACGGTTTTTTTAAAAAAGTATTATTGACACATTCATTCTCAGTATTATGGTAAACCATTCTTCAATTGTAGATGGATGTGGAGACCTTGCTATTGAGTAGGGAGTTTTATTGTAGTGTCACGTTAGTGTATAATTAAGATGTATAAATATATATATATATATATTTATGTATGTATGTCTACATTAATAAATAACCAGTTGACATGATCAAATCTTGCTATCGCATATAAGATATTACTGGTGATGATTAAAAATAAAAGAAAGAATTACGTGTTCTTTCTTAGCTCTGAATGCATCCCACTGGCGACATATTCGCATTTCCTTCTTTGCACAATACCTTGAAGCTGCAAATTTCATAAAACAGAAAAAAGTTTATGAAAGCGTTGAATATGTTAATATCCCAGGCAGCCGTTTCACGTATGAGTTTTTAATGAAAGTGCAAGATATCATCTGTTTTAAAGAAAATGTCTATTTTGGCACACTTAAGAAAATAGTCTCCAGCCATTGGTTACGAGAAAACAAATAAAGCAAATAATTGTTTGGCTTCAGTTATTATTGATTTAACCTTGCCAAAAACAAATAAATTATATTGAAAAAGAAAATTGATTTTGAAAATATTAGAACTACAATTAAGCTAGGGGCAAAACTGGATTATATATACATAAATAGAAATTCACGCAAAAATGAATACACACACACGAACGCATTCACACACAAACATACTCACATATGTCTATGTGTGCGTATATATATATATATATATATATATATATATATATATATAAGTGAACATTGAAGTCAACATTCAGAGGCGACAGGCTGTTTCATGCTAGACGCAATCGTCAGGCCTGAAATAATAAAAATAATGAAATCTGTTCGCGAATACTAAACAGAATGTGAAGATAAAAAATTTGGTTACATAAATAATCGGAATGAAAACAATTCTACAACATATTAGGCACCTGATCCATGATTCGTGTATGTATGCATGTATGTATGTATATATGTATGTATGTATGTATGTTACATCGTCGTATAAAAATTCACTATTGCAAAATTTCTAAAGAAATAATTACTCTCTCTCTCTCTCTTTCTCTTTCTTTCTGCGTGCGTGCATGTTTGTGTGTGGCTATATAAAACAAGTATTTAACTTCAGAAAAATGTCCGCTCTTATATCTAAATATCGACACGAAAAGAAATTCCTATAAAGTTACCTAAAATCATAACAAGACCAAAAAGTCTTTTACTATCCCTTAATCTAATTTAATTACCTATTTATAATGCCAATATATAGAACCCCAAATATATATATATATATACGAAGCAAAAATTAACAAAAACAAATAAATTAAATATGAAAATTACTAACATCATGAAAAGTAAAAATATAAATAAAATAAATAATCTAAAGGTGAGAATGACAACTATGCCAAAACTCTAATAGGAAAGAACTGGTAAAGTTCGGTCACCTCTTCCCAATTCCCCTGACACAATTAGAGGCCTATATAGAGAGAGCCCGCTATAAAAGTATTGACACATGCTGTGCTTGATTGAATAAGACTAGCTTTGAATCTTCATGACATAAAATTTATTTCGTTAGTCCCTATCAGCCAGTCAGTGGTAATGCAAGCATTCTCTCTAAGACCTTACATTTTCCCGCCTGTCGTATGGGAAATACTGCCTAAATCATCCTTATAGCTATTGGCTTAATATTCATCTGTCCAACATTTACGTTCTCACACATGCAATAATCGATTTAGGTGTAATGTCCCATATTTCTGCATTATATAACTGCGATTGTCCCCAGGTTAAGCTTCTTGTGCTCCCAGCTTTCATGATGTCTGGTGTGAACTTGAAGCGAAGCCGATTCCGATACAATACGCCGCACGCGCGTTACTCATATTTACCAAAGGTAATCAAGGTTCAGAGTCATTTAAACTGTTCATGCAGTGAATATTGCTGCCACATCTGGTCTGGTACTTCTGCTATATATTTAGAGATAAAATACAAAGAATCTGCAATGTTATTGGTTCTTACTTGACATCTCGTCTACAGTCACTTTCCCACGTAGTTTCCCCGTGCCTTTCCTATAAATATTTTAATCTTTTGGATGAGCTTTCCTTTTTGGTGCCTAGACGTTATACATTTAAGCACAGTACTAGATTGGCGGATAGGTCTCATCATTTTACAGTTGAAATGAATAGATATAACAGTAAGTTCTATGCTAACAGTTTTGCACTTATCACTTGTAGAATTCTCTTCCGGCTTCCTACTTTCCAGTCAATTTTGAGCTTGAAAAATTAAATACATTCTTGATTTTTATCTTCTGTCTTATCAGTTACTGCGGTTTTATTATAATCTCTCCTTAATAATGTTTTCTTTTTCTCATATTCTCTCACACTCAGTAAACCCTTGTAACTTAGTGGCTTTATTGTCTTGCCTAGGGTGAAATAATTAAAAAAGTACATCTAATACAATCAATAAACTAAAGATATACATTAACGCACCGTCTGAATATTCTTTGTTCACTATCCGGTTCCCTCTGACCAATGTAGTAAAGTAAATGTGTTTTGATGCTTCTTTTCATTGTTTTTTTTAACTAAGAATATTATTAGTTAGTGATAAGCAAACATAAACATAGATACTGCTTTATCCAAATATAGCGCAACCCATTCCCAGCAGTGAAATCTCAGAACATTCTTCCATGAATAACTGTGAAATCGTTAACAAAAAACAGTTTTAGGGTGGGAAAAATTCTTCTCTATTTTGTCGTCGCGGGTTTTCAGTGTTTACTCACAATTTTCTAACCTTTAGCTCCATTAGTTATCCGGTAACCGGAGAGGCAAATGTAGAAAAAAAATAAGTCGAAGAAATGTTTCGTTTGTAACAACCAATTTAATTGGATATCGCCCTGTCAATCATGACTGCCTCACTTTATTTTTTTTTTATATATTCCAATGTTCCAATAGCTATTATCGCTTATATAAATATTGTAGGCTTTGTGAACGTTCGTAGATATTGGTGACCTAATGCAACATTTATAATTTATAAACTTTACTAACGAGACTGATCAGAATTTTGATATAAAATACTATGATTAAAGAAGAAAACAATTCACTAAAACTTGATCGCAAGGTCAACTACAGTAAATTTGCGCTTGGCTCTTACAACATTTCACCATTGATGGCAGATCTTCCATTATCACAGAGTGCGATATCTAACAACAAAAGTGATGGAAACAAAAACAAAAAAGAATCTAAATGAAATCGACTAGATTTTATATATAAGAAAAACAATCAAATATTAAACCTCTAAACCCCCTCGTTCGTGTGCATGTGTAATCGCACCACCAACAAATTTAGTCCGATGGCGTCCTAAAGGACGAAGGGTGAAAGCTTTATCATACACCTTCCCCCAATAATGTTCTTGATATATAAATATTTATATATCATCAACTCAAACGTTACTATGTTTGTTTTTCATATTGCACCTATTCTTAGAATAAGAAAACTATTGATTTAACGAATGAGAATAGATATATCATGCCTATTCCACTATATCCATTCTGGAAAAGAGGCTGTCTTCTATTTGTAAGTCAAAAACTAAAATAAAGTGATAATTGAAATGTTCACATAATAATTAGTAGTATAGTCTTTGAATGAAAATAAACATATGACTGAAGATTAAGCAGCAAACTTTATTTTGTTCTGTCATTGCACAGTTCTAACGAACTGTTGTAAATAATACGGAATAAAAACTAACAGATAATACTTCGAGTGAAAACATTTCGAGAATTTCTCCGAAATTCTTGTTAATTAAAAATTTAGTCAGGATTTCAACTATTTTATATAAAATATCTTCGTAGCAAGGTGAATCACCACGACCTGCTAAAAACATTATGCAATTTTTCCAGTGCAACAATAAAGATGCATATTATTTCAAAAAAGTGAATAAAAATAGAAAGGATAACTGAACTGAAAATAAGAAAAAAACAAAAACAAATGAAAAACAGAAATACATTTGTTTAGAATTCTAGATTGGCAATAACCCTCATCAATATATTGATCTTCCTGATGCCGTTAAACCTTCCTTTGTATTCATCGTTTTTGTGTTTGTCCTTTTTTTGCTTGCAGGGGTTGGAGCTTACGTTTCATAACACCTCCTGAGTTAACTATTCTTTTTTTTTGTTATTGCCTAGAGATGAGAGAAGTGTACTTGGAATCCATTTAAACAAAGCTAGCAGGTAATATTAGAGGAAGAAAATAGTAACAATGTTGCATAGAAATGCGTAAGATTACCGCAAAATACTTTCATAAAATAACAAAAGTAGAAGCGACTGCCATAATTCGGTAATATTTTGTAAAGATTTCGAACAAATGCTGACTGAAGAAAATGGATAGCAGAATACTGCATGTATTGGTGAACAGTTTTAAAGATATACAACGAAAGAAGTAAAATAGCGGTTACAAAAGACTTTATTTTTATTTTTTTAATCTTTCCGACCCAAGCAAGGCAATATATGAGTAATTTTAACAAGGACAGAAATAGTTAGAAAGAGAAAAACAATAAATATCTGAATAAAAGTTACAAAGGCAAGAATTTAACTGAACAAAGAGAGATTATAACTATAGAGGTTGATTTATTTATTAGTTTTTTTTACGGCTTATTAACCGCTTACAGGTTATTTAAGCCAGAAAATATTTTTCTATTGTAAGATTTATTTTGAGATAGTAATTCTTTACTGATACAGGTTCTATTAATTAAGCCATAGTTGGGAGAAGAAGAGTTGGGTTTATACCTGTTGCAAGGGATATTTGCATATAACAGGTGAATATAATGAACTCGACTGGAATTGGAACCCGGCTCTCCGATTTCCATTCCGAGCTGTTAACTTCATTAACCAACCCGCACATCCAAGCTTACAGTAACTGATATTCCCATTCGGTCACCCTCTAGGTACTGACCAGGTTCGATGTTGCTTAAATTCCATGATCAGACGAGAACCGGTGTTTCATCGTAGTATGGACGTAAGCCCCTGTATAAGAGAAACCAGAAGAGCTAAGGTAAAGACTGAATAAGAAAAGAATCCAAATTAGAGCAAGTAAAAAGATATGAATTCGACCTCTCTACTCCCAGTTCTGATATCAAGCTGCATAAACATGGGAAGTAGAGAAATACTTTCAAATTAACATAAATGTGGAAATTGGAACCTTTGAACCAAATTTGACTCATACCGTAATTCCCCATGTATAATACGCATGTTTTTCTGAAAATTAATAAGCAAAATCAGTGGTTCGTATTATGCACAGCTACAAAAAAATCTTTAAAAAATTGCCGTAAAATTAAATAAGAATTATTATAAAACTAAATTAGAATAATATTATTATTATGTTTGCAACCATTTTTTTTTAAATAAGAGTAGGAAACGCTGGTCGTAATGAAATTGGAAAGATACAATTTATAGGGTTCGATTACTAAACAAAGGATGCGTATTATTTATGAGAAGAAGCATTTTCATACACTTTCAGCACAATTTTAGGTGTGCGCATTATGGATGAAGGCGTATTATACATGAGGAATTACGGTAATTGCTTTTGAAACAGATTCATTAATGTATAGAAGAAATAAATCAAATGATGTTTGAGGTCTTTTTTTTTTAAGGACCAATGAATGATAATTTGTCAGAATTAAATAATTTTATTTAATATTTTGCAACTAAATAAATTTTCTTTTTTTTTTACTTCTTTTCCAGGTAAGTGTTTTGTCAATGAATGCCGACGATTCTTTTAAAGGATAAGGTCAGTGCAAATTATTCTGAAAATTTAAAAAGTGACTACATCCTTCCAACGTCAATTTGGTATTCCAGAAAAGGAAGTCGTTGTTTGAGTTACCGGTTTGAAGGTAGAATTTGTACATTTTTTATGGGTTTACTGCCTTTCAATTTTATATTATGCTGCTTAAAAAAAAAAGAAACTAGATTTTCGAAATGCCAACAAAAGGAATTGATAAAATGAATACTAGTTATCGTTTGCAACAGTCAAAGAAAGATGCATCTAATTCTAATGCACTTATTTTTTTAAAAGAAATTTGTTCTAATATGTTCAAAATCGCCGAGAAACTCTAACAACTTGAGGAAAAATCATGTGAAATTTCTGTGAAATGAAAAAATATTTGTGTCTGCATTTTAAAATACACGTTTATATTTTATATTCATTCATTTCCCTATTTTAATGTGCATATTTATTATATTAAGACATATTTGATGTGTATATCAGTCTGTATGGATTACTGATTCGAAAATGCTTCTAATTGTGAAAAACAATTTAAATATGTTGGTTTTAATTTTTTTCTTATTCTCTCTCATATAAATATATATATATATATATATATATATATATATATATAATAATTATTTATTTAAAAATTATAACATAAATATGTTATAAAATCGCTACAAAAAGAGCCATTTTGTTTCAACACTTTTAGTGTCTTATCAAGTGATGATGTTGAATGTAAAATAAATGGTTTTAAAAGTTTCAAATTAATTAACGATCCTTCGCAAGTCCTTTTACAAAAGCTAGAATGACCAATCAAAACACAAGTATAGAAAAATTCAAAAAACTTGACAACGAAGTAAGGTTATAATAGCTATTCAGAGCTTTAAAAAGTGGGGTTATATTAAATATATACACCAATCATATATATATATATATATATATATATATATATATATATATATATATATATATATATATATATATATATATATATATTAAATATATATATATATATATATATATATATATATATATATATATATATATTAAATATATACACTAATATATATATATATATATATTAAATATATACACTAAATATATATATATATATATATTAAATATATATATATATATATATATATATAAATATATACATAATCATATATATATATATATATATATATATATATATATATATATATAAATATATGATATTGAAAAATATAACACATGCGAACCACCCACCCAAAAGTCCGACTTCATTTTATTTCTTTTTGAGAAAGGACATAGGCGTGTCCAGAAATTTTAACATCTTTTCTCCCCGAGCTTGTATTGAATCAAAAGGGCTACTAAATATTATTATCTTATAATAATTCTACCTATTCCTCCATTATTCCCTTAGTTAGCACGTAGCCAATCCCTATTGCAGACGCATGCTCAGGCACATTTGTGTTTGCTCAAAACCCACAGAGCCCACCTGTGGTTTATACTGCAACTATGCTGAGCAGACCTTAGTTACAGTTTCTTGGAGAGAGCGTATTAATTAGCGTGATAATTTGAACAAGGCCAGTTCGCTCAATCCCACAATGACTTGTAGCTTCGTGCTAGCACAGCTATCTACGGTCCACAAGAGTTTCATCTACCAAGTTTCACTCAGAAGGCTTGGGTTAACCAGTGTTATGGTTTTCGATCCAGTCCGATAACATCAGGAAGTCGCCTACCTTACAAATCAACCATGGTGAGATTCGAACCCGGGTCTTATGGTCAGAAAGCGAACTTTCTAACCACTCCACCTCGCGCCCATAGTACATTCATCGTGGCTGTCCTCTCGGTTTCGAGCGTGACCTCCTCCTTTATTTCATGTCCTCACCCCCCCACACTCCCTTCAAATTCTATGTATTCGCAGGTGACTCTTCAGGCCAGCCAAACTACGACAAATTTTGCCACAGAATTGGCATACGCGATCAGTTTTGTTTACGATATTGAGTCACCCCCCCACGAGGGTGTCATGTGGCACAAGGCCTTTTTAACGTGGGCTCGGCCAAAAATATGCCCATTGAACCCGTATAAACGGGTTCAGAGCCGGTTTTACCTCCCCGAAAGAGAATCCGCCCTTCGGCGTAGCCTCCTTCGTCTGTAGGAAGAGGGTTCAACCGAGCAGTCGGTTCAAAAGTGAACGACTGACTCACAGTTTTGTTTACAGTGACATTATTCGGGTGCACACTATGTTTTGCACATTTATGCAAATGGCTTTTGAAGCCGACAAAAGATAGGCACAATTTTCCGCATATGTCACAATTAACGTGGTGAATTTGTGGACCCGGTGCTGGACCCTGTTCGCCTTTACGAATCAGTACATACATACATACATACATACATACATACATACATACATACATTATATTTATACGCATGTGTCTGTGTATGTGTAACAAAGATTGTGTCTTGCAAAAGAAATGCATGGGACTAGTGTATTTCTAGAGAATAGCGTTTTAAAGGCAAGCAGTCTTTATAATTAAAAAGCTTTAGAATATTAATAGAATAGAAGAAATAAAATCGAATGTTCAGGTTGTCTTTCCTTACTCAGAGTTTTCATGATATGCTATCCGCTTGACAGAGGGTTTGATAGTAAAACTGAATTCTTAATATTTAATTTTAGTATCATCTCACAAATCATCACACAAGAGGATATCATATCTGTGAAACTCCCAGTAGCGAAATATAATTTGAATATATAATTTTATTTTTGCCCTCTCATATATATATATATATATATATATATATATATATAGAGAGAGAGAGATAGATAGATAGATAGATAGATAGATAGATAGATAGATAGATAGATAGATGCCAGTGTGTGCCTGTGTGCAAGTGTGTAAGGGGGCATATATACAAGATGCCTGAATTGAGAACATTTTTAACATAAAAATATTCAATGAGAAATGCAAAATATTTTTTTCAAAATTGTGTACAATTTTATATTTTATAAAAGAAAAAATGTTACTCGATAAAACTGTCCTTAGCCTCGAGGACGGTTTTGAATCCAACTCAGAAGCTACATACCCGGATTGAGGGGTTCTCATGCGTGTTTATGTTCAACAAATCCTTGGTATTATGTGTTTGCCAGTTAGTCTCACTCTCAAAAACACCTCTGATGTAAGGGATTCAAATCAAGAAGTAAGCGGTCACGTGTTTGGTGAGTTGCGCTCTGATATGATTCTGCAAATTCTAGGTTAGCTCTTCATTGGTAACTTGAGTTACGAGGTATGGAATCCTGCTGAAACACATGACCTCTCCTTGGTCACTTTTTCTCGAGCCAATGATCATCATGTCCAGCAACTAGATGTAGTGGGTAGTTCTGAGGTAACATGCAAGACAGCATGACATGATGTTTTGAATGCAACATCCTATGTCAGTAATTCTAGTTCAAGCATGGCCTCCTACCGCTCCTCATATTCGCTGTCTACTCCGAGTTATTTTCATTGAAAAAGTTAAATGCTTGTTCAACAAGTGCTTCAGTTGGGCGATATGTATGAGCTGAACTTGATGCCCTCCTGCATCACATAGCTGATAGCGGATTAAGTTTAAAGATGATAGTACCTAATGAACTTGTTAAGGTTGTGGTTGTTGACCTTCAGGGGACGGGTGAAAAATTAGGCGACTCTTATGACGTTTCACTACTTACGTTTCTTTCGAAAATGGACGGCACGTTTCCGACAAAGGCATCCAACTTCTTGAACTGTCTATCTTCAAGTTGGTGTGGTTGGTAAGTTGCTGTGTATAGCAGATTACGTAGCTTTATATATATATATATATATATATATATATATATATATATATATATATATATTAATAATCCGTATGGATAATTCCAGAGAATTGGTGCATTTGTAGATGTGCCTACCTACATATATATATATCGATGAAAGCGTATCAGAATTAGATTCTCATATCGATATATATCGTTTGTATATATATATATATATATATATATATATATATATATATATATATATATATACTTGTGTATGTGTCTGTACGTGTGTATGTGTATATACATATATGGATATATACATGTACATGTGTATATATACTGCATTTCTATACGTATGTTTATACGTATATAGTTGTATCTATGTATTTATATATATATATATATATGTATGAGTACGTATGCAGGTGCATGTATCTTTATAATTTTATTTTATTCACTTAAAGTGATCTTTTTCTTAGCAATTTTTAAAAATC